AATGGCCACATTTAATAAATTTAATTAACTCAAGGATTAACTGGCGAGACCGAAAATGTCCAAGTGGAAGGAATGTGAGTTGCTGGCAGCCAGAGGTGCTCATCAATCGCGAGTAAAAACCAATTGGGAGCTATAGCCGGGAGCTAATCAAGCGGCATTCGAGCAATGGCAACGCTTTGCTATGCAGTCAGCACGCTTTATAAAATAATGATCGGATTCGGATCGAGATCGAGTATTGCGGGCGCATCCCATCAATCCAATCCATCCTCGCTTTTGATTGCACCCGTAAGTGCCATATTGTCACCGTTTGATCAATCAAACCAGCCGCCGCATCTGGGGGCATCTCGAGCGGTCCACCGATCGTAAATGTAACTCAATCCCCATTGATGATTGTTGCGTAACTTGTTTCCAGTTGCAGTTGCAGTTGCAGTTGCTGTTTGCAATTAGCCCTGGCTCCTCGCGGTTCTGCTATACCTTTTGGCCCATCGATCGGGCCCCTTTTGCTAATTGACAATATTTATGAACACGTACGCATTTTATCGCCCCCAGTAACCATAATTGGGTCCGTCGTCGCCCACAGCTGCTGGCCAATTATTTTCATCAAAATTGTTGACAGTTTTCAGCGTGCCACAAATGAAGAGATCTCGGCGCTGTTGGCGATCTTTACACTCCAATCGCCCGGTTGTACCACATTTTGGTTATACGAATGCCGAACTGTGCCGTAATAAATTGTCACTAGATGAGAGATCTCTAGACCACTAGACTTGCACTCACTGTTCACCGTTTTGCTGTTTAATTAAATTTACGTTAATTGCACATTAAAACATTCTTGCTTTTCGCCATTCGGTGTAGTTCTTACTGGCTTTCAGAACCCAAACAAGTTCCATTTGAAGTGTTCGAGAACAAAAAAGTAATTGTCATTTGGCCAAAAGTCAGATGATAGACATTAACCCAGGGGGCAAGATTTCTGTGTGGTCACATTCAGAATAGAATCGCCGTCTAAATGGCGAGTGGCAGGTGTCAAAACAGCAAATACATGGGAAGATCTTATGGGGACATTATAATGAACGAAACGACTTTATAGTTTTTTATAAAAAATAATTTGCCACTTGCGACTTTACACTGGGCCAGTGGAAATGATTTCACTTAACGTAAATACATTAATAAATTAATGCTGAAAGGTAACTTTGCAGCACTTAAAAACAAAATCCTTAAAATGAAGACAAGATAAAATGCTATAGTCGAGTTCCCCGACTATCGGTTACCCGTTACTCAGCTAGTGGAAGTGCGAACGAGAAACTTCAACATTTTCTGGAATTTTGGGAAAAAAATGATAAAATGAAAAAAAAAAATTACATTTTTTTTTGCAAATCTATAGAAATTTACAAGATATATAAAAAAGTGAAAAGTACCACAACATTTTTCAAAAGTGTGGGCGTGACAGTTTTAGGCAGTTTGTGGGAGTAGGAGTGTGGGCATGGCAACATGGAAGCTGTATACTGTATATACTTTATATGGTCGGAAACGCTTCCTTCTGCCTGTTACATACTTTTCACCGAATCTAGTATACCCTTTTACTCTACGAGTAAATGAGGTTTAGCACTAGGATTGCGCCCAACACCGAAAATGTGGGCTTCGACTTATTGGAAAGATCTCATTAAAGCTCAATAAAGGGCTGAATTAAAGAGGTTTCAATTTCATTAAACGTAATAGCAATTTCTTGGTTCAAATGAATCTCCTAAACTTTACTGGCTATTTGAAAGGTTCTACCAAAAGCAGATTGATTCAGATTAGGAGGTCTGCCACCCTAAAAGTTGACCCTAATTGAGTTAAATACAAATTGATTTGCGTTGAAATGAGATTTAAATGCTTATAAACAGAAACAAATAGGACGTTGCTTCCGTTTAATTTGATTAGCTTTGAAAAAGAAACCGACTCGCTGGCAGAATCCCAAGTACATTTCGTTTGAAATTCAATTAAAGAATCGTGCGACCTTCCCACATGCAAACTCAAGATCGTTCTACACTCCTTCGGTTTTTTCTGTTTCGAGAAGAGGCCATAAAGTCGGTGCTACTGGATGAGTTTAGAGTTTTATTAGTTTCCACGTTGCCGGGTGTTTTCAGTATTGGTTAAACGAAAATTGAAATTATCAAACCATTAAAAGCAAGCAACGGCAACTTGTATTTTGGGGTACGTAACGGAATGAAACGGGATGGGGGCCAGGCTAATTAAATGTAATTAATTTTCACATGCCTCAAAATAAATGCATTTAAATCAAAGAGTTCCGAGGGAGTGTGAGCTTTATATGTACATACTCGTATATAGCGTATGCTTTAATAGTCGCCGACCAACAAAAAGCGACTGACGCTCTTAAAAGTGATTTAAAAAGTTTCATTAAGATAAACAACAACGAACACTTCACTCCGTCGCAGCCACAGCCGAATGTTATAGCAATTTAAATTTTAATTTAAGCACACAGTGGCTATGAGCAGCACAGGTGAATAAACCATGGGTCAGATCCGACTCGCAACTCTGACTAAACTACAGAAAAATTTCGAGAAAATAAACGCTACCCCCGAAACACAAAAAAAAAAAAAATAATAAACTCAGTCTTGGGGGCCATTTACCGTTGCGCCCTCGAGGCGTGGCCGTTTCTTTCGTTTCATTTTATTTTTGGGGCCATCCTCCGGCAACCGTGTTTTCTACCCATATTAATGGCCCAACCAGCCATTTTGGACAAACAAATTGCCGGCTACTGGATGGGATGGGATGGGATCGGATGGGATGGCATGGTATGGTATGGGATTGGGAGTTGCGTCCGAGTCTCAAAACCTTTTGCACCTTGCTTTCTCGCCGTAACAAGAGATCTTCACGAAAGTAACAGCCAAAATTCAATGGAAAAGATGGCGTTTGACTGTAAGTCGCGCAATGTGAAACATTTTCGGGTCAGGTGCAGAGAAGCAGTCCCAAACCCAAACCCAATCCCAGACCCAGACCCAGACCCATGCCCATACCCAGTCCCAGACTCCGAATCCGAATCCAAATCCGACGAGATTTCACCAACCTGTATCTGGCGGACAAGACGCCAAAAGTTTTTGGCTCTGACTGGTGGTCCACTATCTTACGGTAATATCGCCCATAAAGCGTTGTCTGTTTTCAGTTTGGTGGCTATCTTGTTCGCATCCCATCCCATCATCATCAGTATCTGGCCAACCTTCGCGATCTCCACTGAGCACTTGTACATATAGCAACTGTAGCTCGTTGTGGTTTCCTGCATAACCACCTATTTCCTCAGACCGCCATTGTGCCATTAGTGTTGTGTTCATTTCGTTTGGGTGTTGCGCAGATTGATGGCCAAATCGGATGTCTTGATTGGTCAGCTTCGCACTTATATACATAAATAAAATTTTAAAACTTTACTATAAGATGCAATTTGTCAAAGATTCGACAATTTAAGATGTCTGTGCGATTTTCAAGACGCTGTTATTTCCGCATAAGAGATATATTTTGATTTATCTGTTTTGAATCCCTTTGGAATAACTTTGCAAATGTAGGTAGAGGTATATTGCCTGATAAATCAAATGCTTTAAAATATTTTGAAAAATGTTAAAGCATACTTTCAAAACTTAGCTGCACTGGTTTATTATATGTCCTTAATTTATTTTTTCTGCGATTAAAGCTTATGGGGTCTACCGACAAATCAAATTATCTGCTTGCACTTCCACCAAATCAAACATAAATATTTAATTCTCTGAGTATCTGAACTTCTAACACATATGGCCCTCAATCTGAGCTGGTAGGACATTCTGGCCAGATCCAGAGCGTCGCAGCACAATGCATTCGTAATGCGACTCGTGCCCCGTGGGACAAAGGAGGGAGTCAGCCAGATGGGGAGCCGTGATATCGGATGGGGCAAGGGTGTGGGGGTGAGAGGGCTGGGGATTACGGGAGCGAGGCCTTAAAACGCGCGTTAATTAGCCGTACGTGAGGAGTGCGTTTGTCAAGCAGGCAAATGGCCAGCCGACTGCTCCGGCTCAGAAATTTTATCAGCCAACTGAAATCAGTTCACTGCTCACTGCTCACAGCTCACAGCTCACCTGCAACAATGACAAGTGTTGATGGCGATGCGGATGACGGTGACGATGACGATGAACGAGGTATGGGGTATGGGGTCTGAGGTTGGAGATTTGTACGTGGAATTGCGAGACCCATGTGTGTCGAGACTTGACTTGACCCGTGTCCACCATTCGTTAAGCTTTAGCTATAAAACAAAATGAAAAATGTTGTTGCAAAAAAAGCAAGCAGGCAGAGGAAATCGTACTCCGAAACACTTGTACCCATCGAGTGCTGTCTGTGGTGAGGGCAGTGGTTCTATCTGATTTAAACGTAATGATTAAACCACAGCCGGCAGCAGATGCAAGTGGCAGTGTAATCAGTTCTGGAAAAGTTTCACAGCTGACCCGCCATTATCCTTGACCCGTTTAATTAAAGTGAGTGCTCTATCTGCGACGTGTACAAGATTTACATATCTTACAGGCTTACTCAGTAACATAGTAATGGAAAGGAATGATAAAATATTTGCTGATGCCAAGGTATTTTTATGGCCATGAAAGTGATAAATGGTATCATTTATGGAAACCGACATTCAAAATGTTATTACTAATACTTCATAAACTAAGCAGTCATTCGATTGTCAAGCCCAATCTGTCTAAAGAAAGAAATAGTTGTCTTGAAATGCCTTCTATACAGAACTTAATCAATAATAAAAGGAGCTGAGGCTTAACAAAATAATAATTTAATATAAATATGAATTTCTTGAAATACTAATTCAATATAAATATGAATTTCTATACTCAAAAAAGAAACAATTTTCCTTTGCACATACATAAATCCTTTAAAACTCAAATTAAATGTTCATGCCTGATCATAATTCGTTGATCCCAAAAGTATGCTTCCTAATATTTCCACGATGCCTTAGCAAAGTTCAGCACCCATCCCTTCCAGTTAAATATAACTTCTTTATTGAATGGCTTTACTTGAAATTTTTGTTCAACACAAGAGCACGTTAAATTATTACATTAATATAATTTGTATACCTCATTAAAATTACACTTATTCCCTACAATATATTTACAAATAGCAGTTGTGTTTTGGGTGCATCTATGTTTAAGTATAGATCTTCCGACTAGACTTCTGTCGATAAAGTGTGCAACTTTTGTTTCGTTTTGTCTTTGATCAAGCTTGAAAAACGAGGAAAAACTTTGCAGCAAGTAATATGTAGTTTTCAGCAGTTTAATAGCAGCTGCATTTAGTAATAGTTTCATCAGATCTGTTGTACCATAGCTAAAAGCAAGTGCGAAGGCGTTATCCTCTATATGGAAGGAACAATGGACGATATTATCTCACAGTTATGCGTGTCGTTGTGTTGTGTGATTTCGATTTTCATGTGAGAGTGAGTGTTTGCAATTACGTAATTATTTAGTATTCGTTCGCTGGCAACATAAATGCAATATTAACATTTTCAACATTTTTGATGTAACAAAGTGATTTGTACGACTAAACGCTAAGCAACAATGACTACGAAAACACATTAACAGCTAAAACGCTAACACAAAATTCGTTTCACAACTCTTAAAAATTATTGTTTTGTTCGCTTACTACAATTTCTATTGATGCATTGCTATTGCACTGTACCCGAAATTCTAAATTGCCATAAACATTATTTACTTTGTATTCATATAAACTCCATTCATACAAAACTTGATAAACTTTTGTATGTGAATGGTTTTGGAATAATTTGCTCGGCTTACAATGGGAAACCAAAAATCAGACCATAACTAAACCTTAGAAATCTGAATGGAATTACTAGCGGTGTTAAACTGCAGGTAAATTTCTTTCAAGTTCTGTATCGTTTAGCATTGGACCGAATAAAATTCGAATCTTGTCGACCTATTGTTTTAGTAACTTAGTGTTCTATATGGTAACCACTATATATAGTTAATAAGTTTCTTCCAACTCTGGACAAGACACACATTCAGCAAATTTGCTCATATACCATCAGTAACTTTGATAAAATCTCGGCTCGATGGGGGCGGGTGCATAGAAAACTATTTACAAAGTGTGCGATAGGGTGGCCATCAATCTTGGTATTTATAAGCCTAATTATCTGTGTGCGGATGTGGATGTGGATGCGGATGTGAAGGTGGGTGGTAATGCTGCTGTTGCTGCTGCTGCTGCTGTTGATGATACGTCGATGGGCCGGCTTGAGTGGACGATGTGGGTGCACCCGAGGAGCTTGCAGCTTTCATGGCAGGTATGATATCCTCAATTTGTATAAGTTGTTCGATGGGTATAAGCGACAATTCGCCGCCCACGGGCTGCGGCATGGGCAGCTTTGCCAGAGCCTGCAAAGACGAAGTTACCAGGAATTATTATTTGGCTTTAAGCATAACCTTAGCCCTACCTTGGCATGCTCCACTGCTATGGTGGCTGCCTTCTCCGCCTCCCGTTGCCTGCGCTCCTTGAGCTTCAGTGAGAAGATTGCCACTGACCTTGCACTCTTTACCAGCTTCTGCTTGAGACGAGACTTCTTGGCGGCCAATTCGGCAGCTGAAAATTAATGAAAATTACTATAAGTGGAGGGAGACTTTTTACAATTAAGCCCCAACGACGAATAAAACCAAAAATGAAAATCGAACTATTTTATGTTGCAATGTATACATAGCTTACCCTTAGCCTCGTCATCAGTGGGGGCCGTAGATGTGGATGCTGCTGCTCCCTGAGCATCCTTTTCTTTCTCCTTCTCCTTTCCTTTTTCGATTTCCTTTTCCTTCAGTCGTTCCTTCTCCTTTTCTTTCTCCTTCTCCTTAACCCGCTCCTTTTCCTCCTTAGCCCGCTCCTTTTCCTCCTTGGCCCGCTCCTTTTCCTCCTTGGCCTGCTGCTTCAATTGCTGTTTATGGGATGAGCCAGATGAAGAGTTTGATAGTGCGCCGACACTAGGTCTTGACTGGGAATTGCTGATGCCGCCGCCACCGGAAGCTCCAGCTGGTCCAGGGCCACTGGGGCTAAAGACGCTGCCACCGCCGCCGGAGGACGAGGATGAGGAGGCCACTATTTGCTGCTGGTGCTGTGAAGCTGGTGGCGTGGCCAAATTGCTGCCAGGTGCACCCGACCGCATGGCCACATTGCACCAGGATGGAGCTGGCTTTAAAATATCTGCTGTATCTGCGCTGTTTCCGAGTTCCTTGAGTAGTATCAAAAATGTAAACCAAATTTATTAGCATTGTATTTTCAAAAAGAAAACATCAAGATCTTAGGATCTATCAACATCAAAAGCTTATGGAGATAACACTATGATCTGTATGTATGATGCTAGTAATCCATGCCATCTGTTTGTGAGTGGATATGTGAGTGATTAGGGGGAAGCTAGCGTGGATTTGTGTGTACGAAAGCATCTGCCATGCCAATCAAATTTTGTTATTTCATTCTCCCTCTGCCCAACTTGAATTCCAATAAAAGCGATATATAACACAGGTTCAACAGTATGTTTTACTAATATGGTGTACATTTCTACTGATCCTGCGATGCTCAAGAATACAAAACACCAAAACAACACACATTGAGTAACAAACACAGTATTCTTAGGTACTATATGCTTCCGGTTTGATATATATGTTATATAGTATTTATCTATCCACTACCTTTGAAATACAATCTATGCTTCTATGCAGATTAGCATTGTCGTTGACTTTCAAACGTGACATCCATTCTGGTGCATGAAGTTTTATGTGTAGCTTGTCCTTTAAAAGGCGAAATTCGAGCGAGGTTGTTGGTTAGGTGAGTATTTCATTTGCTATTCGGTTTGGTTAAAAGTGGTATAAACTCTATTGTTGGGGTATAATAGGCCAGTGCTATATAGGAAAACTATTCCTTGCTCCTTAACTAAGATAATCCGTGGTTAAGTTACCTATACCTTTAATTAGGCTATCTTCAAAACTGTTAAAATACGCCTGAAATTTGGATACCTATGCAGCATGCCAATTGTAAAGTTAACTTCTTCGGAACTGTATAGTAATGTAATCTGAAACGTATCCAGTATAATTCTGAAGTGTTGATAGTTAGGTCAGGTAGGCTGGTGATTTGGTGGCTCTACAAGTTGTTAGTAAGGTAACCAGTATCGAGGCTTTTGATAGTTGATGCAAGAGTCTACAGACACAATAAATACATTGAGCAGCTACACAGACACAGTAGGTCATTTGGAGAACTAAGGTAAATTCTTGTGAGTGGGACGGGGGGTAAGTTCCTATTTATAAGTTATGAGACCACAATGTCTACCCCCAGATCTTACGCTCATATTCAGATGCATGGCACTCTCCGCGGATATCTTGCGCGTCTTGTACGGCGGTATCTCAGGGATCGTCTGCTGCGGCTCCCGTTGCGCAGATAGTTGTCGCATCGTAGTTCGCTGGGGACTGCTATTGGCGCTGCTGCCTGTGTGATCGGCTGAATCGGTTGATTTCTTTCGGAAGGGCGGTATTTCTTGTATATGCATAGATTGCATGCGAGCTGCATATGCCGCCGAGTTCAGCGCTAGCGTGCTGGCGGAAGCTCTGTGTGCCCCACATAAAGCGAGAAGTACAAAAAGTAAGTAGTGTAAGCATATGGAATAAAAGGATATAGATATTGTTTTGTTACACTAAGTAGGTCACTAAGATAGAGCAGGTCAGCCAATTTTAGAAGTTCGCATTGCAAAAATGTTGGAAGCTCGGAGGAACACGAGGAAAGTAAAGAAAGCACACCTAATGCTGATTTCAGCTGCTCATGGCATAATATATACTATAATATACTTGAATGAGCCATCTGAAGCCAGTATTAGTCCCATAAATGTACAGCGTCGAAAACATTTAATACATGTTTCGAAACACACATCGATCTATCCAACCAACTATCCAAACATAATTTACCCGCTCTGCAGCTTCTGATGTTGTTGCATGTTTCGATTGTTACCGGCGAAAGTTGTTAAATTTCGCACTGAATATCCCAGGTATGGTGGAATTTCCGGTATAAATATTTTCGATTTTCTAACACAACTCTGATAAGCTCTAGTAAAATACAAATTTATTTAGCTTAATTCAAAAGACCAAGAGGATTTTTGGAGAATTTAAAAAAAACAGATAACATATACATATAAAGTAAAGAGTAGAATCTAGAATCGAATGTAAAAAAGAATGTTTGGTGCATGTTCATAAAGTTCATGGAGCGATGAGTGGCCATTAGGGGTTTCCCCGGCCCTTTGGCGTGTTAGAAATACTCAAGTTTTCCAGTCCCTTACGCCTTTATTATTATTTTAATGGAAAAGGCACTCACCCGCCATTACCGTCCTGATGCAGACTGGCTAGGGAGGCACCACCATGTGGTGGCGTTGACTCATGCAGCGGTCTAATCAGTATGGTGCTGGTCTACAAAGTAGAGTACAAAATATAATTGTGGACTTCAATTCCGCACCCATACAGCGCATTAACTCACCTGCGAGGGCGGCGAATCGGGTGATGAATCACGATTCTCATAAATATTGACATCCGCCTCGATGCTACGCCCGTAGCCAGCGAACTCTTGTCCGTAGAGCAGTATATCCTCGGCCACCTGGCTCTCAATGGACTGGTCTCGTGTGGTATTCGTGCCGCTCTCCATCTGCGATCCGCCCGTGCACTCCTGTTCCGGCTGGGTGGACGTGGTCGACTGCGGAGTGGGTGGTGTGGGTCGTGGCGAGGTGCCCTTGCACTGCATTTCCCGGCGGCAATGCTCGGCCCGTGCGATTTCCGCTGCCAGCCACGAGGGCAACTCCGGTAGCAGCCAGGTAAGTGCTTGCCGCAGACCCAACATGATGTGCTGTCAAGTGAACAATGTATTTTCATAGGTTACAACTAATAATGCGCTAATTAGTGGCTAAATAATTAAATACCATATAACATCAGCTAATCTAAGTTTTGTCCCAATTATGGAGGTCCCCTTCCAGGGACAGAACTCACCTCTAGGGTAACAATTAGAATAATTGTCTGGGCCGTGGTCAATCCAGGCCACAGCCGCGACACCTGTCCAGAAAGGCCAATCAAGGCGCAGTTCACTATAACAGCGGCGAGGGAAAGGATGCTCAGGGCATTCTGCCAGGTTCCAATGTTGGCCACACGTTGCCCAAAGGGACGCTGATGAACGTGGGCCAGTTTGAAGGCATCCGAACGTATCTCCATCAGGTTATTGATCAGAGCGCAAACTCCAGCTAATGGAAAGGCGGCCGAAAAGAGCACCACATAGCCCATTTGAACGAGCATCTCCAAGTGGTCCGAAAAAGTGCCATCGTACTGTATAAATCGAAAAGTTCGTTCACAAAGAATTCCCTACTTGAAATGTGTCAATCACCTTGTACAACGAGCTCTCTATTTCAGCCTGTCCAATATTCCGTTTACTCGCCGATTCCGGCTGATGGGATTTGGTGGGCGTTCCAGTGGACTCTGCCTTCAGTTCCGCTTCGGCAGTGGCCAGCTCCTCGGCTAGACTACGGGTCACATTCTGGGTTGGGCTAAGAGCACCCCACATATTGAAGCTCAATTTGGCCAGTTTCCATTGTTCGAGAAAGTAGGGAATCGCAGACTCTCTTAGATTCCCAATGATTTGGCGGGAGATGAGCAGGCCAGCCAGTTGCTGTCGAAATATAAATAAAATATTTGATATATAGCATTGATATATATAATAATCCAGCTACTTACCTCTTTAAGTTTCTCCTCATCCCTCAAATAGAACGCTATATAAAAGAGCGATAGGAAGGAGTTAACAAACTGGAAAAGTGCCACTTTAGCTATCAAGTGGTTCTCATATTTCGACTGCAGGCGGTAGTTTTCTGTATAAGAAATGAGTGATGTTAAAGATTTCAACTAACACTGATCACATTCAAGCACTTTACCGCGGTCGTTCAACCAAACGGCCAACTTGAAATACGCCTCGTCCATCAAGGTAATTGCTCCTGCCAGCAAAACTTTCGGTATAACACTCAGACAACATAATACACTTTCCTCGGGCAACTTGGAGTCCCACCAGTCCTGTAGGGGTTAAATATACATAAACTTATAAATGTTACAAATTCATAATTGATCGTCTTTTAATAGCTGGCACACGCATAGCATCAATATTAATTGGCATAGCTACTCTTTCCCTTACACCCGCCTTACTTTCCCTTAAATCGCCCGCCATTATTACTCATTCCTCCAGTGACCTGTTACCAACCTCACCCATCTCTTCCTGGCTAATGAAGAGCTCATTGAGTGTTTACGCACTTTGATTAAATTAAAAATCATTTCCGAGCATTAACTGCAATTTTGTCGACGATGTCCTGCCATACATTTACCACATCATCCGCCGCTTTCCCTATTGTTTAACAACTACACAGGAGAACGTGCCTCTTTTAAGCATTCTTTTATGTTGTACATTTCAACTAATTAACCACATATTGCAGCCAACTAATTTGGTAGTTGGACTAATTTAATGTTTAACTTTTTCGTTTATGCTGTTTAACTAATTTGAGTAACATGTTGAATAGATAACCAATTGACCAGTTTCGCAGCCCATTTGAAGCGCACAACATTATTTTTATTCCTGAGATGTTCCAGCTAACCAGGTAGTCTCTTAACCATAAATGTGTGCTTTTGACAAATAGCGCCATAGTCGCACCACCTCGCCTGTGTACGCTTCATTAGGACAACATTTAGTTGCTCGGTTGAACACTAAAGAGAACAGTACGAATAAGGATATTGTCCTGTGGCTCCTGGTGCGCATTAAGCCACACGAACTACCAGCAAACACCGAATAGTGGCCAACAACCACCAAATGGTCCATTCTCAGATTAGTGAGATGTGTGGCAGCTTTCTAACTTTTTTAATGACACGAACAGATGGGAGTTCGTAAATACGCGCTGGTGAAGGTTAAACGGTTTTATCAACAGGCTAGCAAAACAAGCTTTTCAGCAGTCACCAGAGTGATTAATTATGTGTAGTGCATGAAAAATTAATTAAGTTTTTTAAGCAATTTAATATGTTATGGAAATTACCATTTAGGGCGGAGATACTCAACTTATAGAAACCTTGGAATATATTTCAGCAAAAATGTTAATGCAAATTTTATGGAAGTAGAGAGGACTTTCAATTATGCGTAACACTTTCTAATGCTAACCAAAGTTTTGCAGTACAAGTATTTTATCAACGTTGAGGTTGCGTTCGCCAGCCCCCTTAATTTTCCCCTTTCTGTATCTATTTTCAGTTTTCCAAAGGCAGTTTTTTTACTTTCGCCAGCTGAGCATTTTAATTAACGTCAGCTTGGGACGGCAAAATAAAAAAAATTGCGTATGCAAAATGATGGCCTGAAGCCACTGCAAAAATACTTCTACCAAAGTGCATGTGTGTGAAAAAGTTTTAATGAAAAAAAAACCCGGCAGTTCCTCAATTCTTTACTACCGCGGACCTTTTATCGAAACTGTTTGGATGAAATACAAAATATGGATACAAAATATTTGGATTGAGTACATGTTCACTTACACAATGGGGCAGATACTTAATTATTTATCAATACCGAGCATTTAATATTATTGCAATATTTCCGTTTTTGAATGATGGCAAATGACAACTACAACACAAATGCGTGGATTGTTCGATCATACATTACTCATACTAAATTATTGAAATGCAATTGAAAATGAATAAGAACCTTGTGCAAATTATACATGCATTGAGCAATTCCTTTATCTGGTATGTTATGGTGATCCAGCCAATCCTGTGAAGTATACAAAAATAGAAAAAACAACATAAAACGAAAGCATAAATGAAAAGGAAAATGTGAAAACAATTCAATGATGTGTGATGGTTGATAGACTTATTTTACTTTGGCCTTATCTCTATGGATGTTTCAGTTGCGTAAAAATATCTTAAAGAATTAAGACCAAATTAGAAAAGTTAATGGGTCAACCGGAAGCCAGGCAAGTGTACATATATGTGTGTTTGCAAGGCAGTCGAATGTTTGATATGATCATTGTTAAGCTTATAAAAACTGATAAGCAGGCACACAAACTCATTCACACGTGCGCACTCAAATTGGTATCACGCTTAGCGTAAAAACCACATTAAGTATACGAGTGTCGTGATCAGAAAGTGCTTCGAATTCCCTTGCAAATCAGGCTTTATACATATTTCAGACTTTAAATATTAAAAATTTAGAAATCTTCAGTAAGACTTAAACCAATTAGATTCTGCCAAGTCTGCTTGCCATAAATCTCGATATTTGTAAGGTCATTCGGGTAGTTTTAAAGCAAACACATTTGTGGACATGTAGAAGGTTGGTTCAGTTAAAGCCTCACCTGAAAACGCAGCATGAGGAACATCACAGCAAAGACAACGCACAGACAACATCCAATAATGGGAAAGCTGACCAGGTAGCGAAACGCACGACGCTGCCATGCAGGCGCCTCCTTGGGCTCCAAACGACCCGTCACGTTGTTCTCCTCCAATGGACCCTGGAGCAATCATCCGAGATATACGATTAATCAACGAAATTGTCAATAACTTCTGTTACGCTTACCTTGTACAGGGGCCTCGGTGGTTCCAAAAGCTCTGGCGGCGTTGATAAAGTGCCCCATCGGAAGGCCAATTCAACGGAATAGCGCTTCCAGGCCTCCAGATACAGTGAGGCCCAGGCTACGTTAAACAAGGAGAAGAGCACATGGCCCATGTCCTGGGCCGTTTGACCCTTGCCCCATAGAATGCAGTAGAGTATTGTGCCAAACACAGCTGGTACGCCCAAGGCGCAGGTGTAATGACCTAGCCAGGCAAAGTACAGGGCAACCTTTACGCCAAAATAGGCAGCAATGTCATCTGCAAAGAGGTTCGACGTTTCATTCAAAGATGATTCATACAAAGAGCTTTTACAATGTGATATGATACGAATAGTGTGATGATACTGAGTCAAAAATATTTTAGTTGGATCCGTTGGAGAATCAATCTTACCCAAAGGCTGCGGTGCAAATATCTGCTTGACCCAATGCGTCTGGAGCTGGGTCAGCGAACTGGGCTCGTGCAGCGGAAAAACCTGGGTGATCAGGCCGGACTCCTGCCAGGTGGCCACGATGCTCTGACCCTCGGCGACAGCCGCTCGACCATGAAGGGCATCGATGTCACTGCAGCCGGCCCGCAGACCCTGCAGCACCTGGAGGACCAGCCACTGACGCTCCTGGGAGGTGAATAGTGCCGTGCTACCGACATCGCCACGCAATTGTTGGAAACAATGACTCTCGCGGGTGGTGAACTCCCTTAATGCACCGCCCAAATCCGGACGCAGACGCTTTGGCAGGCGGGCTTCTTCGGCGGCTTTAAACAGTCTGAAAACAATGGATTATTTACTTTTCAAACTCGATTTAGTTTACTACTTTCCCACACTCTGTTTTCATATATATATGTATATTATATTCACAGTAGTGGGACAAGGGGTTCCACTTACACATTAACGGGTGCACTGACATAGAAGGCATTGCGCCGCGTACTCTCGTGCGCCTTGACCTGGACCAAAAGACCCAGACCAGCCGGCGGCTGCGAGCGGATACGGGCTAGGAGCCAGCGGAGCGCTTCGTCTGGTGCATCTTCAGGAAACTCAATAACCACATCACATTGGGTGGGTATTTTATTGAGCCAAAGGCGACGAGGAGTCATCAGATGACCTGCGTAGGGCACTTTGCGGCGTAATTGGCGGGATGCTGGAAAAGGTAAAGCAAAGTAGTTGAGAAACCCATTAAATTTACAGACAAGTTGGAAATAAATGTACAGACAAGTTGAAAATAATCCACTCTATCCTAAATATAGTTGTACAAAAAATGGATTGCATAACATTGCAGCAAGGGGAAAAATAACGGGTATCAAATACACACAGACCAAAACAGCTCAAAGAAAAAGAATAAAAACCGCAAATAAGCTAACCTGACATGGTTAAAACACGGACAACCAAAAATGCCGGAACTTTTAATTAGAAAAGATAGCAGCATCAACCAATGCAAAAGGCAACTGGTGAAAGGGAATTCAGACAAGAAATTTCTTCCCTAAAGAACAAAATATCAAAGAAAAAATAGACTGTTTAAATAATAGCAAATTACATTTTTAGTACCATAGGGCGAACTTTACTGAAAATTTACACCTTAATAAAAACCAGCTTGATGAAAGCTTTCAATTACTACTATACCCAAGGAAAAGTATAAATGAGAAAACTGCATTTTATTTCAAGCTGTTAATTGTTTCCGAAGTTTTTAAACAGTTTCTCGGGGTCGTAATTAATGATGAACTTATTTTAGCCCATGGAAAAGTAATATTTCAATGAGTAGAGGAAAAAGCATGGAGCAAAAGGAAAAAGTCAAAGCTGCACTAAAATTGATAGCGGACGAGGACACTCTGCCACCATTAATGTCCTTGTGACTATCAACAGCTTTCACTTAAATTTTGCTAATGACAAATGCCACTTGCAGTGACCTCAAGCGTTGGGTGGTTGGTTCCTTGCCAATGTTTGCTTTCGATAAGAATAATAATAATAGTTTGGTTCGTTCTAAGTTCGCCGAGCTCATTACGAAGGTCAGAATGTTTTCGCCATTAAACGATAAGGTTGTGAAAAAGTACTTTTGGTAGAATACTCTCTAAATATTTGCTCGCTGGAAATAATCGGGTATTTAAGTTTCAATTGGGACATACCCAAACCCATTTCCATTAAGATTTGAAGTAGCTTAACGTTCATTATAAATATTTGAATTGAATTAAACTGAACGGTTCAACATCCCTTAGTTCGCAAAAAGCTTTCGTCAACTCAAATAGACCACACTTCGTAATTACTTATTCAGCCTGGTTCTGCACAAGCGAGATTTCCCATCATTAATTACACATCGTAACATTTTACTAAGCCTCAATCCGCACTCATTAGAATATTTAGATATTTATGTAACAAACTCAATTATGCGGCTTAAACTCAGCTTTTCCTCCTATTTGGGAACAAACGCGAATTTAATTAGGGTGCACGCGAGGAGTAAGGCTTAGAGCAAGTAAATTGTAAATATACGAGTATATATATTTAGAACGCTTTGTGTGTCGATACACGTATAAAACTAATTATAAGCGACATGAACAAACCGGAAGAGCAGCACGAACTGATGTCTGCACATTTTGGGCAACAGAATAAATCACGTAATGCGGAATTTCGTAATTAATACCATAAATAAAACAGGAACAACGCAAATGCAAACCCTTAGCCAGCGTCGAATGGATCGAATGGGATGCTGTTGCATTGCAAATGAACTGTGAATTTGTCTGTGGTAAATTTCAGCATAAACCAGTCCCCCATAACCGAAATAGCAACATCCCGATGGAATATAAACTCAGACGCAATCAATGTAACCGCTGTACGATTGCCATTTTGATATGCAAAACACACAAATGGGTTTCAGACATCGCAACCTCACGCTCAGCTCATAAAATTGTGACAAAAGGATGGATCACAGCCAGAAGGACCTATGCGAAAAAAAGAGCACGCGTTGTGCATAGTTGCTATGTCCTGTGGGATTTGGGAATGAAATCTAAAGCATCGCGAGTAAATAAAAAACTAGCTAGGGGCTAGAAATCACTTTATTGCCGGTCAGGGACGGCATATGCTAATACGGGTTACACACACCATACAAAATTGAGCGTCCTTAAAGGAGAAAATTTGTGGGCTACTCAAATGTTTGGTTCACGTAATTTGGGTTAATAAAGAAAGTTGGCGGCGTTTAAAAATCGATATAAAATCTATAGCACTTGAGCCTTATATATAATATAAATTATTTAAACACATTGAATCTGTAAAAATTTCAAGTAATATTAATTGAAGCTATCACCAAAGCGAATAAATGTTCCCTTTCATTATCACCAAAAAAAAAAGGAAAGTAAAAGTGCAATCAGGCCACACTTCCTAAACCAATCCAATTTAAACCAAACCAATTTTGGTGAGTAATACACGACAGCAAGAGCTGGCCAGCAGAAATCTCCTCCATCAGCATGAACCACACAATTCATTATACAGTCCGCACATGCTTAAGTTGACACCAAGGACGAGGACGACTCCACTTGGAGGAGCAAGTCAGTCAAGCCAGAGAAGGAAGTGCCAACTAATGCTTTCGGCTGTTAAATCAGCAGCACTGGGACCCCGAGCCCTTAAGGGGCGGAGGACTGTGCCTTGAATAATTAATGAAATCGGCTTTGGGCGCACCACCCACGCCTTCTGATGGGCGGCAAAAAGGAAACCAGAAACCGAGTAGAGCCACAGTAACGCATAATTTGTTGCATAAGCGGGATGAAGGAGTGTGATGGCTCAAATTTAATCAGCTGATTCGTGCTCAGCTGATGGCTGCTGCAGCCTCGCCAGCATTCCCAACGAGCATTCAGTTAAAACAGTTTATGTTTTAATTAACCTTGATGGTGACGAGGGCCAAAGAGGAGCTGGAAAAGCTCATTAGCAAACCTTCAGCACTCACTGCTAAACGCTTGACTTAATTGGCTCCAGCTTGAATTGCGTCTAATTGAAACTAGATGATGTTATTTTGATGATGACCCACCACGACCATCCCACCATTCCATCAATTCAGCTGCATCATCGCAAAGGGAGCACATCCTGCCTTCATCACCACCATCATCTAATCATCACTCAGTCCAATCAGGTAGTCGTTCGAGGGAGTAAACACTTTACTATTATAGTTGACACGATGTGAGAGATGGTTAGCTTGGCTTTAAAGGTGAACACTGAAAGTATCCCCATTAAATTTCGAGAAAGTAAGTTGAATTTCATAAGATTGCATTGCATCAATATATATACTTGTTAATTATATATAATGGGGTCAAGCTAAAATCCGAGTCTCCTATCGGAATATTCTCTGCAATTAACCACCTAATTGTTTTGAAGACCCAACTACAGGCAAATGCTTAATGACCTCGAATGGATTCTCTTCAATATGCAGTTTAATTGTACTTTCCACCCGCATCAAATTGCTCTTAATGACATACGCTTAAATAGAGTTAATATGCCTGACATGCGTGTGCTGGATAAAATCCTTTGTTATAAAATATTTAATAGCGGCAATTTAACACACCGTTGCACTAAGAATCGAAAGTACGAAATGTTTTTTCCCGTTTGGGGTTTAAGTGCCATGATATCCTGCTGCACAACAGGATGTGTCCATGTTTTGTGGGACACATTTTTATTGATGCACCGAGTCCTTGTTGTGATTAATGAGTTCCCAAACTGAGTTCCCCTTAATCGTGCACACTTCCTTTCCGACAGCCTCCATTTATCCAGCCGCCTCCCTTTGGGTAGTTAATCTGCAACTTTTGCTGCCCAAGTGGTTGGCAGGACAGTGAACATTCAAGGACCTCAGCTTGGTCAGCATAAATTAATTGCATTTGTGTATGGGACACGAGCAACGGATTATATAGCAGTAAAGCCAGTAGAACGTTATCGTCGGCATGAATATGTGCCTTATGGACACCAGAGTGCAAAGTCCTTAATTGAGTTTTAATCATGTTAAGTGAAAGTGGTCAGTAGTCAATCTAATGCAATAAGTCAGCAAAGCGGCTTAAAGCGGCTCACTGTTATATTAAGCAGTTTCAAGGCAGATGAAGGCTTTTAAAAGATATATGTAGAAGATCACTTACAGACATAATCTATCTCTATATATTTTCCCAAACAGTCTGTGATAATTTTTAATGCACAAGTATTTTTTAGACAAGCTTTTCCCATCCTTTTTGCTCTCAAATGCTATAACTAACAACCAAAACCACTCAAACTGTCAAAATGACCACCCAAAACGACAAGAGGGAAACGAAAAAAGGGGATAAATGTTAGGGACTCTTCAGCAAAACGAGCTCTTGAGCAGGCTACGACTATATTGATTGAATCTGCATATATAATTGACAGCGAACGATTCAAAATCAAAACGTTTCGACGGCAGCAAAACATAATTTATTAAAATAAGTGAGAGGCAACTTGTGAGTAGCGATTTTGTGTCATTCTATTCAATAAAAAAATAGTCTACCATTTAAGTTACATGTTTTGGGTTTAAATATGTCAGACTTAAAGAGAAATAGCTAAAGGATGTCACAGTAAAGCGCTTGTGTTCCGCACAGTTGACTAACGAAAAAGTTAATGAGGGCTAACGGCGACAACTTGAAAAGTTCCCAACTTACTTTTCCCATTCCCTTAAGACTTAATTGACAACTGTGAAAGCATTTTGGCAGCGAAGGATTCTACTACGTATTTTCAAAACTCAACAATTTGGTTTTTCTTATTTAGCAGTGAGTTCTTAAAATTGCCCTCAATAATAATACATTTTATAAGGATCACATACTTTAATCTTGGTTATACATTGTCCTACATTTTCATGTTCCCCTTTGGTGCCTAATATTTAAGTCAGTTTAATTATACCGCTAATAGGGTACAAGTGTGCCCAAAAAGCAAAATGCTCGCGGACATAATTACACATTAAGTGAGAAAATGAAATAATAAATCTTTCTTACGTTTATAATGAAAATCCACTTAGGTCAAACCAAAATCAGGCAAGGATGAAACAGCCGGATGCGAGATAACAACAGGCAAGCAGGTAGGAAGCCAGACAACCAGCAAATTCCAAGGACACGTGAGTGGGTGGGTGGGTGGTAAAGTTTTCCCATGTCGAACACCGTTTGGTTGTCAGCG